TAGTTGAAATACATTGATGGTAATGATGATTAAAGGTAAATAGGTTATATGGATAAAAGGTTAATGTCTTAAATAGTCCAAAAACAAAACTAACTTACAATGTAAGTTTAGTGCTAAACTGTTTCATGTTTCATTTCTCAATCACAATTTAACTGTATGCCTACAGAAATTAAGATGGTTTATGAATCTAATTTCAAACTTTACTCTGATTCATTACATTTACTTTAATTATTATTATTTGTTTTATGCTTGCAGTGATTCGGATGCCGACTTTAAATGCAATATTTTGCTTTTTAGGTATTGAAATCAACAAATGGTTTTTAACTAAATACACCGATACTGAAAACAATTCACACGAACAAAGAACTTTCATGTGTCGCCTTTCTTCAAAATAAGGCCCCTAGTGGCACAACGGTATGTCTGCGGACAACGCTAGAAACCGGGTTTCGATACCTGTTGTGGGCAGAGTACTGATACTGATAGCCCATTGTGTAGCTTTGTGCTTAACTACAAACAAACAAACATTACGTAAGTAGTGTTTCGCCACTGAAAATAGTTCGCTTTTGCGAAGGTTATGTAACAGCCCTTTCCGACGCAAAATAGTCATACAATAGATACAAATGGTTAAAAAGATGTAGAGGCGTAGAAAATTGGTCATACTCATGATGAAAAAACATATACACTTTCGGAAATAGGCACAAAAATATTGGTAGTGTACAGCAAACACTTTCTTTAAAGTTGGTACGTTTGACGCTACGCCCCAGTACAGAGTAGGAAGGTGTGAATGTGCTGCAGTCGAGGAATGCCAAGTTCACTCTATTTGGGTGTTGATAAAGCGTTATTTTCAGAAATGCACAATAAATCTTCATTATTGCATTTTAGAAATTTTATTGTAAAGTAGCGGATTGGCCATTACAGTGGTTAGTGCATTACCAAGCTGGTCCGACAGTTTTAATCTAGGGCCGGCCCGCCGAACTATTAATTGAAAGTAAAATTTTTAGTTACTTCAGTATGAAGTTCTGATTTGTAAGTTCTGTATATCATTATTACTTAATTTCAATTAAGTCTTGAGCCCCCAAGTAGCTAGGGCCGATGCAATAGCCAAATCACCGGGCTGTTCCAACACATCCACTAACTCATTTAACCCAACCCACCTCTTTAAAGTGGGGTATAATTATTTCAATCTGAGGGAGTAAATGCGTGCCGGAAAAATCCATTCAAGATTAAGTAGCATATTTACAGAGTGAAAAGTGATACGAAGCATAATGTACGCGATATTAAGTATCCTAGTAATAGCGTAAAACAGCGACACGAAGTAGAGCCTATGCGGTGTGACTACTATAATTGTTTGTTTGTTAAGCACAAATCTTCACAATAGGCTATCTATGCTGAGCCAACCACGAGTATCAAAACCCGTTTTTTAGCGGTGTGAGCTCTCAGACCTGCCGTTGAGCCACTGGCGGATTCTACCACTATCATAATTAATTTTTCAATATCTGTGTCTTTAGTGAAAAAGTTGTTCATTATATAACCCATATTAAAAAAAAACAAAAAAAAACTAAGTGTGTGTCACGTCACGATTGATTTTACCAACATTTTTGATGAAAAACAAACTAAGACTTTAAATTAAGAAATAAACAAATATTTTTCCAGTTTTGTTGTCTATACATTTGAGTACATAGACTAACAAGAATATTAGGTTATACTTTTGTTGCTAAGCGACATGATATAAAAGCCATTGTAGGATCGTAGTGTTACCAAAACGCACTGGCTTTTCTATATATTAGAAGTTGTTAATCTAACTGATTTTTACCAATAAATATTCTTTAAATCGCCACGAATTCATTTCATGAATGATCTTAATTTTTATTGACTCACAAAGGAATTTACCGACGTTTGACTGCCTCGACTGCCCTTTCTGCCTGCCCCCCAGTGGCACAGCGGTATGTCTGCGGACTTACAACGCTAGAAACCGGGTTTCGATACCCGTGGTGGGCAGAGCACAGATAGCCCTTTGTGTAGCTTTGTGCTTAACTTCCAACAAACAAACCTTTCTGCCTCTTTGATAATCAAGCTTTATTTCGATTAGTTATGAAATGTGAGGTTGGGGCATACTATGGGGTGTGGGTGAGAGTACTTGTCCTGTCATTTTTGACGAGCTATACGCTTGTAATTTATAAAAAATAAAACATTGCAATTAAAGTCTAAATCAGAACAACTCGAAGAAAAAAAAATCAAAGTTCATGCAATGAATGGGAGTAAATTTTAGAATTTATATAGAGTCGTAAATTCACTACATAGTTATCTGGATGTGCTATGTTTTAGGATATTATAAGCTTTGTTTGCAATATCATGTTAAGTGTACATGGACAAATTAAGGCAGTTATATAAGTCGAAGATAGCTTTTATGTACGGAAACATCTGTTAGCTGAGTTCTTGCACAGATCTTAAAATATAACGCTGATAAATGGAAACATCGGCACATGTAGATATGTAGATCTTGAAATTCGAGTTGTTCAAAACTTGAAAATAGAGTTGATAACTGGATCAGTTGCTGGTTGAGATGTTTAAAAAGAAATATCTGCTGAAGCTTTTTCGCCAGACACTAATCTTAGCAGAACTGTCTGGAAAATGATCTATAGGAAAAAGTACAGCTTATAAAATGAGTCAGATCAACGTAGGCTGGTAAGGCAATCACTGATTGGCATGTCAGGAAATGTCATAGACCTACTGAAGGATG